GGCCGTAGCCAGCTATGAGGTCAGCTATGAGCTATGAGAGTCTTCTGGACCTGTTTTTCTGATTTAATGTGACACTTTAGAAAGTTATTAAAGTGGAAAGTTGCATGTTAGGGTTAGTGATATATTAATCTTATTTCAAAAACACAAGCTTTGAATTTATTTCAGATTATTATAATTATTATTTTGTTTTGTCTTTCGTAGCAATATCTGGCAACATTTGACTGTCGGCATTAATTAAAAAAAGCTTTTAGACAAACTGTAATTGCATAAAGCTACCACATTCGGTAAGACAAACGCAATGATCCTCGTGATTATCTGTAAGAAATGTATAACACTATCAAAAACAATAGCATAATACAGATCTGTATGTTACAGAATGAAATTTGCCAAATAACTTACTGGCCAGCAGGAAGATGGCTCATGCTGTTTAGTTAACCTTCACAAAGTCATCATAAAAACATTAATTAAAGCAGTGTTTCTCAACTAGCAATCTATTCAGTCAGCATATTTGTGTTTGATCTGTGTGAATTACAGAAATATAAGACTTGCTAGACCTACTATTTTTCTATATTTCCTTGCACAAAACTCTCCAGAAAGTGCCATTTAATGGTTTATTTTTCAAAAAAAAAATCCCGGGGGGGCATAATAAAGTTTAAGTTTTATAAGCTCATATGCTCGCCTTGCTCTGTTCTGTGACGCACGTTTGTGAATCTCCTGTTCGAACTCGTTCATCAAAATGAACGACTCTTTTTACGAGTCATTTGGTTCTTTCAAAGAACGAAACGAACGAATTGACTCGCAAAAAGATTTGTTCATTTTGATGAACGAGTTCGAACAGGAGATTCACAAACATGCGTCACAGAACAGAGCAAGGCGAGCATATGAGCTTATAAAACTTAAACTTTATTATTTATTTATTAAATGAGCGATCGTTTCGCTTGATAAGACCCTTATTCATCGTCTGGAATCGTTTAAAGCCATTTGAACAGTTTGCAGTTTGTACTGAAAGTGTCTTTTGGACCTTGAACTGTCTGGTTCCCATTTAAGTGCATTATATGGAGAAAAATGCTGGAATGTTTTCATCAAAAACCTTAATTTCTTTTCGACTGAAGAAAGAATGACATGGACATCTTGGATGACATGGGGGTGAGTAAATTATCAGCAAAAGTTTTTTCAAAAGTGAACTAATCCTTTAACCCCTGTAACGTGTATATATATATATATATATATATGTCTTTACACCTCACCCCGGACCTCACTAATTTTCAAACCCTGCTTACGGCCTTGCATGCAGTACTAGACATGTACATTGAATCATTCAGTTATACTGTAATCACAGAACATGGTTTTAAATCATTAGCAGATTTATCAAATAAACATGGCCTCAGCATTTTACCCCATAAATCATGAAACTTACATAACGTTACCCAATCCTTCACCAATCACCACGAGGTTCACTCGTCGCACATCCAAATACATCTACAAGAAATGCACACATCAAATGTTATTTTAAACTCCGCTTCACAACATATGTGCATATTGAAGATATTGGAGTAATATTTACCCAGAAAGACGATAGTTTAAACCAGTAAATCAGATCGATGCACGCGCGACAACATGGAGCTCTTCTGAATCTGTACCCTGAAATGGCTTCTCTCAGTTCTCTGGTCGCGCGCACGCATCCAAAACCAGTGAATAGTATCGCGAGATTTCTTAAGGGGGCCACGAACATTTTTAACACAAAATGGAAACAATCGCTGCGTCCCAATTCGCCTACTTATACTACGCCCTAAAAGTATGTACTCTTTTTGTGAAGAAAAAGTACATACTTTTGAGTGTGTAGCAAAAGAGTAGGCAAGCTTTGGGACATACTACTTCCTCATCTTCAACGTACAGATCTGTCGCGTGCATCCTATCACCGTAAACTGCCCTGTCAATCATCTTGTCACAGTTAAAATCCTCCATTCAATCTAATATAACTTCTTACCATTTCGGAGAGAATTGTTGTCGCACGTTCATCTGCCAGTCATGGGCCTTTCATGCGGAGACTCTCCTCATGTGTTTGGAATTTGAATATAATAATGCATTTAAAAGTGAATGGCTAAACGTATCTTTGCAGACGTTCACAATGCTGCTGCAGATGCAATATAATGTGGACAACATTGAATAAATACATTTTCGTCAGGTTAGATACTGACAATTAATCACTCAAACCCCTTTGTCTAAACCTCTTTACATAACCGTCGGACTCGCGCGTCCTCCATGTCTGTAGTTTTTGAACACTTTTCATTCGTGTTTGTAGTTCTAACCGAATCCTCGTCCAACGCGCGATGGGTTGTGGGCAATATCAGCCGTTAGAGTGCGCATCGATCTGCACTTCGGATTCTGACCGGATATAGTAGACCATCCGGGTCTCTTTGGGACACTCATTTCAACATACTACGATTTGGGACGTACTAATTCTATTTTCGAATACTGTTTAGGACGGATAGTATGCGAATTGGGACGCAGCAAATGTATATTATTTATACTACTTGGCCACTTTTACCCCTTTTCCACCAAAAATGAACTGGTTCGGAACTGGTGCTGGTTCAAAGTTGGTTCGGAGTTGGTTCAACTTGCGAACCTTCTCAGAACCTGTTTGTTTTTCCACTGACTAGAGAGCCCAGCGAACGACGTCGTTACGTCACTGTGTACGTCGCCATACATCTTAGCTAGAAACGCTTGCAAGTACAACATTACTTTGGGATTATCTCTAACTCGTGTACTAAGAAGGCTTTAAAAACAATTGAAATATGTAAGTCTTTTAATCTTTTCCTTTGATATGTAATCTTTTCTGATTAGTTATGTACTCCTGTCTTGTGTCTTTTTTTCTTTCCATTTATTTGTTCTATATTGTGACTGTTTTCTCCTTTGCTTACATAACGTGTTCAATAAAAAAAATAAACTAGAAACGCTTGCGCCAACTTCAAGCATAACAATTACAATGGCGGACTACATCGTGTTTCTGCAAATGTTTTTCCTGGCTTTGCGATTCTATATTATGTCAGAAAATATGTTATCTAAACCCGCCCCCAGCCCCCGACGTAAGCATGACGTGGTAAAAGAACGGTTCTAGTCCAGCAAAGAGTTGGTGCCGCTTTGGAACCAGTTTTCCTGGCCGAGAACCGGTTCTTTGCCTGTCGAAACACAAAGAACTGGTTCGCGCGCAGGCACCGGCTCCGAACCGGCTCTCAAAATGCGTTGGTGGAAAAGGGGTAATATAAGTCCAAGTCAAGACCAAGACACGTTGTAGCTATGCTATCTAGCTAACGTTAGCCATACCTGTCACGTTCTTTGGGCGTTTTCTGTCGTGTCTCTTTAAAACCTCGAGATTTTTTCCACATGAATTGCAGAAATTTGGAAGGACGCCATATTTTAATCCACAGTAAGGACAATACATATTCACACCACACGTTCAAGAACGAATCGCTTTTCTAACCTCGGTACTTCCAGTAATCGCTTGATTGACGGGTGTCTCGTCCAATTGGCGACAAGTATGCCATTCTCAAAATATAATTCGTGATTCAGACTATGGCTGCGTTCGGAATCACATACTCAATGAGTAGGTACTTAATTTCAATGAGTACTTACTTAACGAGCGCTAAAAGAGTAGGTACTTTATAGCCAAATCTCGTTGAGTATGAATGCGATCCGGATATCATCCGCCATGTTGACGTTATCATGTGACCTACAACGCGTTATCACAAGCGCAACAACTTAAAAGATATGAACGACACGTTTAATTCATCTATTGTAAATATCTCGATATTGATTAAACTTGCTCATTTTGTGGTATTGTTGAAGAAACAGCTCTCCATTTATTTTGTAAATACATTTAGGGTTGATTTAAGTTGTTATATTTTAAACCATACTAATGTGACCCACAGTTTTATCCTTATAACGATATATTTTTTTATTAAGAAACCCCCAAATCTTGAATATGTTGTTAATTTCTTTATTTTATACCCAAAAAGTTTCTCATTTGTTTCCCTCTTTTTCTTGATGAATTTACCTCTCGTTTCATCCCTCAGACTTATAACAAAAAAAAATTTTTTTAATGTATTATGATACAACTATGGTATCTTTCCATGATCTTGTTGTATGTAATAACTTTAAATTATATGAGTGACAGGTGCACTAACACTTCATAACATCAGTAACTCGACAGCCCTACCTAGAACAGTTTTCCTCTGCGTTTGTAATGTCTGCACAAAGGAGACGGACGGCTGCTCGAAGATCTCTCCTTTGGAGAAAACTGTTGATTTTATACTCGAAAAATTTAAGTATCGCTCCTTAAAAATGTATATTACCTCAGAATGAATTGCATTGTTAGCCCACCCCAAAACTTAAACAAAATAATATTAAATGCTGACCAATACTTAATTATATTACTTTTTTAAATTTATATACTAAAAATTATATAATTGAATACACTCTTAGAAGAAAAGGTTCTATATAGAACCTTAAAATGTTCTATCAGGCGCTACGTATTTGGAACCCCTAAAAGGTTCTATACAGAACCCTTTTTAAGGGTTCAATCAAAAGAACCCTTTAGGATTTTTTGTAACCAGGAAAAAGGTTCTATATGGAGCCTTTAAGGGGTTCATTAATTAATTTAGTTTTGTCAAATAATAGCCTAAAGAACCTTTGTGCCAAAAGGGTTCTTTCTTGTCATTATAGAACCTTTTTAGCATAAAATGTTCTTTGGAGAAAAGAACCCTATGGTTCTATATAGAACCCCAATGAACCCTTTTTTCTAAGAGTGTAAAACAAGCTAAATGTAATTTGTTTTGTCATATGACATAGTTATGCATTAATACACACTAGATAAAGCCAAGCAATGAATTAATGCATACATAAATTAAATAATTATATTTTATATACTGAAAACAATAAGAAACATGAATAAATGAGTAAAAGAACAAATAAAAATAACCATCACAATAAACAAATGCATATACAAGTCAACAACACATGAAACAAAGCTTTATTCAAACTACAATCATGTATTTACAGGCGCTGAACCCCACATACTGCCATCTCAACACAGCGGATCCCATTCTGCAGCTTTATTCTGATGAATTCACCAGAGGTGACTGTGCCTTCGTGCCGGAGCTTGTTGCTGCGCTTCACAATCTGAGGCAATAAGGGCAGATGGAGTGATGGAGGGACTCTTCCATGGCACCGTTTCCAGGATTCAGCTCTGGGCTCCTCGTCCTCAGTGCTCACACCAGTCTGCAGACATTTCAGATCCTACAAAAATGCACAAACATTATACAAAAGCAGTCATTTTAACAGCACAATGTAATTTGATTTATGTATTAAAAGTTACAAAAATGCTGTGATTTATCTGCTCAATACTAGCCTACAGGCTGAGGTTGTAGCTGATGTGTTAACTCACTTTTTATCCAACTTAAATGTTCCTCAATTTATCAACAGTAATAAGGGACAAATAAAATATATAACATGTTTAGTTACTTTATAGATTTGTTTATTTACCTTATTTACAGCACATTTGTCTAATGTAAACAGTGTTGACAACAGTGAATTATCCTACATAATAGCACACATACATCACTCAGATGCAATACTTATACAATATTTTCCTTTCAGATGTAAATAGACATTTTAAATAAGCGTGTTTAAGATGTATATGGTTATGTAAATCCACTTTAGAGACGTAACGTTACGTGTGCTTACTGGAGCTCGATCCCCTGTTAGCTAGCTATACATAATAAAACATGTTTTTACAGAAAAATCACAACTCTACACCTTCAACATTTAAAACGTTTACTCTATAGTAGTTTAACACATACACAAGGAACCGTGTTTACTCACATTTGAAAACCCCCGCGTCGCTGATCTCCGTGATGTTGATAATGACGTATGCTCTCGCGTGGCCTCCTGGGATAGAAGAGTATCCATCGGACGAGCACTCAAAAATCTGGGCAGAAGCAGTAAGCCATCCGGGAACTTCTCGCCTACTCTTTTATGAATACTGACGTTTCGAACGTACTGCTCCTGTTTTCGCCTACTATATAGTAGGAAAGTAGGCATATTCGAACGCACTTAAGTCCGAATCTCGCGATAATTAGTATGTCACCCAGGTAATTCTCGCCTACTCTTTTATGATTCGTACATACTTTTCGCTCGCCTACTCTTTTTCCCCTACTATATAGTAGGGAAGTATGCGATTCCGAACGCAGCCAGAGTGAATGACGTCCGAGTCGACGTCGGCGCCGGCGACGAGGCCTCGGCCAATGGGAGCCGAGGCGGGGCTCTCGGCCAATGGGAGGAACGAGAGGCTCTGAAACAATTCGTCGGCCGGCCAATGAGGCGAGAGGAGCAGAGGCGGGGCGCGGTGAAACAATTCGTCGGCCGGCCAATGAGGCGAGGGGAGCAGAGGCGGGGCGCGGTGAAACAATTCGTCCGGCGGCCAATCGGAGGCGGGTGAAACAAATTGCAACAATTCACCCGAAGATCAGTTTCGCCATGGAGCTGATCTTCGGTACTACGCAGTTACAGTGCTTTGAACATTTTAACCAGATTTGATTACGGATCAACTAATTGTTGAATAATTTTTTTGTTTATCTTTTTTGTGCTTCAAACGTGCATCAAGTAAGAGGTAAGGGTGAACACATGTTTGTATTTTTATTTTTCGTATTTACATTTACCGGTACTCATAAAGTCATGGTTGAAATATGATCATGAATATTAATGAAGCAATTAAGGCTTTGTTGATTTATTTTCATGATCTATAGTTACTGTGTAAAAACCATGGTTAATTTTCCGCAATTCTGTGTGGTTTTGTAAGATTTTATGTGCCTCAAATTAATATTTTTTAAAAAAGAGAGCATAATGCCATACATTTTACTCAGAGGTGACTGTCATAATAATGTCCGTGTCAAAAATGTACAGTTATAGGATAATAATACAAATCATGCAGTTAGCAAACATGTATTAATTTAGCAATGAGCTGAAGCAATTATTACAGGTTTTGATCATAATGATTACAATATAAAGAAAATTTGACAGTTTTGATTTGATTGTCATTTGTGTGTGTTTTTGTGTCTTGTAGAAAATGGATTTCAATCCTCAGTTTCAAGAGAGCCCAGCTCACCCTTAAGCCCTGGCTGCTGTCTACAGGAGAAATACTCCGGGACGCTCATGGCCTGATATAAGAGTGAAGGAGGAGGCCATCGCTCGTGTGTCAGCACAAGGAGGAGACACACATCCAGTGGCAGATTAACACTCTTTGGTGGCCCTGGCCACTGACACCTAGAGCACACTACCCACTACACCACCCCGTCTGCCATCATGGGGGACAAGGATGCCTTGCTCCAATATGCTGCCAGGTCATATGAGACACAGCCATCTTTTAACTGTACACTGGGGAACTATATTCTCAGAAGGTGAAGCACTACTACTTGGGCGCAGTGATTAGCGCAACACTCTGAGCGAACTCTCTCTCCTCACCACAGGTCTCTCAGGCGCTGCGAGCAAATCACTCCGCAGAAGTAGCAGTGCTTCGCCTTCTGGGAATATAGTTCCCAGTATGTATACAGTTAAAAGATGGCTGTGTCTCATATGACCTTACTATACAAATCACAACATATAAATAGGAAAATGTTGGCGTTATTTTGTCACTTATTGGGAGCAGTATGCTAGCTGGAGCCATTTACTTCCAGTGTTTGTGCTAAGCTAGGCTAGCGGTGGGTGTGTCAGACAGAGTTACAGCACAGAGATGAGAAGGGCATGTGTGGATTTATCTAACTCTGGGGGATACGGTGAATAAGCTCCCAAAAAGTCGGCGTGTTCCTATAATAATTTGTTGTGTTGGGGCTTGATTTAATTGTGTGTCCTTTTCAGCTTCACCGAGTGGTTTATGAAGCCAGACCTGGTACCAAAATGGATGCTCTGCAGGTCTACATCAGGAGAAGAGATGCTGAGGACGGCATCAGCGCCTCCAGGCATGAATCTCACTTATCATTTATTTGTTTTTGGATTTCATCTAGTAATTCAGCTGACTTGAGTTTACTAATGACACTAATGTCTTTTTAGAGCTGCTTCAAAGTAGAATGTGAATGATCATATATGCACATGATGTATATTTTTAATGCATTTTGAATTGTTACGGTCCCCTGTCCAAGACATGGTTACGGCCTTTCTTCTAAAACTTTGGTTCTCGGTTCATTCTTTTAAGATCTTAGAAGTATGGTAATGTCAAGAATGTTTTATTAGTCTTTCAGTACTAAATAAGATTCAGAGTTATCTTTAACGATGCTTAAATCGACTGAAGAAATGCGATCATTGGGAATACTTGCAACATTTTATTTGTTTTGAATCTCTTCCTGTTACTTCTTTAAACCCAAGTTGAAGTCTCGGGCGGTGATATAGCTACTTCTAAAACATTGGTTGCATTCAATGTTTTATTAAGTCTTTCTGTGTTTTATATACATGGCATCTCATTCTCTTTCCTTCCCTGTTGTCTTTCTTATTGCCCTTTTTGTAGAGGCAGAACAAATGATGTACAAAAAGAAAGTATAAATGAAGTATTTGGTCCAAACACACCTCTGATTCTCCTGAATTTGCCACATATAACATAGACATGAGATTGATGGTGATTATTTTACTTTTTAATGAAAGTAGGCTATATATTAAAATAAGTAATAATTGTTCATAAATATTAATCAAACAGAAAAAAGCTGACAAGCACTGGCAATTACAATTTTTTTAATGAAGTCTCTACTGTATTTGTCCTTTTCACTCAATACTTTAACAATCGCAGAAAATAGTCATGAATGTTTAAACTGACGTTTAGAGAAATACAATGATTGACAAATATTATATCCAGTCATTTTTAAGCTACATCTATAACTACTTCAATTAGTTTAGCGATACACAACAAGTTAGACAACCTTTCAGTCTAAACTCTATCACAATTTAGTTTTGAGCATCGACATGTATGATGTTTATTTACAGTTTGATCAGATGATGCTCGAAAGGAGACAGTTTTAGTCCTGAATGCAGCGAAATGCGTTTGTCCTGCGATTCCTCTCAATAACGAAGCAAGAAATTCATTTATGTAAAGACATTTATTTAGTAACACCGTTAGTAAAGTTTTGTTTGTGGTGTGTGAAAATTAAAATACACGTTGGTGTATATAATTCACGTCTTCGCTCTGTGTTTTCAGAAAACAAGCCAAGAAAAACGACGCACATTTGTCAACAAAGACAGCGAAAACAACATATGCATGGTAAGTGAATTTCAATTACTTTATACATTAGCGTTTAGTCTATAAAAATTTTTTTTTTGATGAATTCGTGTCGATATCTGGTAGTTTGAGTAAAAGGGAACGACGATTCAGAATGAACATTAACGATGTGAATACTGTCAGATTATACGGTTGATTAAAATCGCCCGAGGAAACATTAGGATGGTAAATGCAATCATTACAAATACTTACAACATGTTTTTGCTTGGAAACTAAATGTTTGTGTTCTGTTAAAGATGTAAACTCAGTAAGCTCCAGCGAGCCGCTCTAGCGCCAGACTGCAGTGTGATGCTGCGCTCTAGCGGGGAGGCTGCGTACTGCACGCCTAAACACTGTTATTTTCACTTGAGACACTGTAAAATATCAATATTTACAGTTATTTCATAATTAATAACTAATAATTAATAAAAATGAGGAACGCTTCACGAATTTGCGTGTCATCCTTGCGCAGGGGCCATGCTAATCTTCTCTGTATCGTTCCAATTTTAGTATATGTGCTGCCGAAGCAAGCACGAACTGAGGGAATCGAGGAGAGCTACTTATTGCCAGGACCTCCCGGTATGTGTCTCAGTGGAGGTAAGTGGATAAACCACTTATTCTACTCCCTTGTGTCAAATGTGACTGTAAACCATGGTGATATGAACCTGTAAACCTATAAAAACCATTGATATTTTCAAATCAGCCGTTTTGCTTGGGTTTACCGTAGTATAATCTGAACTCTCTAGAGCCCATATGCAAAGGGAGACTGTCTCTACTAGCTGTGATAGGACATCTCGGTGTGACGTAGCGACGCTCTTTGTCTTGTATTGCACGTTCCTCCCCCCGTAAGAATGCGTAGAACTTCCCGTCTGTGGGGGAGGGCGTTTAACACTAGACAAAGAGCTCCTCTCTGTGTCCCACACACACACACACACACACACAGTCCCACCGAGACGTCCTATGCTATCACAGCTAGTAGAGACAGGCTTCTTTGGCATAG